GAGAGAGAGAGGAGAGGAAGAGGAGAGGAGGGAGGAGAGAAGAGAGGATTAGAGAGAAAGATTTAGTGACAATGATCTTATGTGACTGCAGTGTAACTACATAAAACTTTTGTGTGTGTGTTTGTGTGTTTGTTTGTTTTGAATGTTTTATACTGTCATTGATATTTAGGTATATAGATCCCTATTGGAATGAAAATTACTTATAGTTGGAGGATTATTCAGCAAGTTCTAAGTTCATATATGTATACCATGAGAGCAGGTAATGGTCTCAGTTATAGGTTGAGAGTTGTGGGATCTATACCACTATGCTATGGGTTAGCTACGTGTGTGGGGAAACCGGCTGTGTATGTGTGTGTGTTGGGATGTAGGGGACTTCATATGCTTGTATTTGGTATTTGTGTGCCCACTGCATAACATTCAAGAGTTATATATAGATAAACCTTTACAAGAAGTACCGAGGTGATTAAAGTATTTGCCTTATAATTTGTCACGAATTTGAATTTGCGTTTCTCTTTTCAGAAGAAACAGTCAACAAAGGAGGTTTTGGAGCAGATACAGAAGGTGAGTGCAAGAATAGCTTTCATTATTCAGTTATGGTAATGTTTGCAAGTACATGTACAGTGCTCATTTCTGTTTTTTCCTTGATGCATTGCTAAATTACTCAATAGAAATAAGGGTCATGAAGAAAAAATCCTGCAGTTTGAGTCAATAAAAGATCTTATTAAAATGCAGATATTTTATCGACATGACTTGTAATCTGTATCATCTGAGTCATGTTCTGATATGCCTTGGTGTCTAGAGGTGAAAATTTATAATGATGAGGCAGGTTTCACTTTCTTTGCCAGGTTATATTTCCTTCTTTCATTCATCATCTGATAAAAGTGAATTTTGTTTGTGCTATTGGTTTCACAAACGTTCAGCCTGTTGATGCCAACTGCACCTATATGGTTTTGATAAAACTGTCACTGAATAAAGAGGAGAAAGCCTTGACAGACAAATGTACAATTAGCCTATAATCAACTCTATAGATATGCAGTCCTAACTAATGATACAAAGTATACTTCATTAGCCTTTAAAAAAATACATATACAACTATTAGACCTCAACTAACACTATCAATTCCTGGCAGGATGTATTGCAAATTGAGGAGTATGGTGCAAACACACAGCAGCGGCAGAAGAGGCTAGTGGGTAGCCTGGTCCTCTACTCTGCCATTTTCTACCTGATTGCGGTCGCTGTTTTCTACTTCTACTACTTCCCTCCACAGCTGCAGGAACGACTTCTCTATGCCACCCCTTTTATTGTGTTCCCTTTCCTGTGAGTACCATTCCAGAGGAGAGACTCTGATTTAGAATGTGTTTTGTATGTGCGTGTGTATGTGTGTGTGTGTGTGTTTTAAAAATGTTTATTTGATGTGTAGCATCAAGATTGTTTGGTTAATTTTGGATATTGTGTAGTGGGAGTAGTGTGTCTTTTAGGAATGCCATCAAGTTCTTAATGGTTATGTGGAATGTATGTTGTGAATAGATGAATAAATAGATACTAGGTTTATGAGTACACTGGATTAATGAAAGGTTATTTTAAATTGAAATGTAGCTCTGTGCTAATTTCTGTTATTATTTGGCAGACTATGTATTTAGACTTTGTTGCCTTAAAAATTAGTTGAAAAGAAGTAGGATTTGAAGAATTGTAAGTTTTTTTTTTTTTTTTTTTTTTTTTTTTTTTTTCCATTTATCCAGTCCATGTCTTAAAATGTCACTTCCAATGACCTCTTTGAGTCATATGTCGGATGTCCACAGAATATACTTGCTGAAGAGGTTGCTGTCATGGTACTACCGGCGGAAGATCACAAAGAACGAGCTGAAGCTGAAGAGCCTTCGGGAGCGGAAGGAAAAGATCCTGGAACAGGTGATGGAAACAGAAACTTACAAGGTGGCTAAGGAGATCCTTGAAACTTATGCCCCAGACCAACTACGGAAGAGCCAGGTTAGGATTGTTTTTTTGTTTACTTCTGATGCGCGTTTTGTTCTTGGGTAATCGACAGATTGGTATGTACAATTAGTAACAAGTAGCTAGTAAGTGAATGAAGAGGTATCTCGTAATTAAGTTGGAAATGTGTCCTCTGATAGTTAATTTGTCTTACTATTTACAGAAAGAGATTATATAGTGTTTGTGTTCATCAAAATGTCTTTCTTTTGCAATGTGGCTGAATTGAAGCTTGAGTCAAGATTAGAGATCTGTGTAAAAATTGGCTTTATATGTTAGCTTTAGATTAGCATCTGGAGAAGTAATGTGACTAACAGGATGTATTGCTCTTTCAAGCTGAATTGAAACAAACTTTATTTGTTGAAAACAGTGAATATATTGCTGTTTGTATACTGTGTAATGCAGTTCACTGGATAGTTTTATGAAATCATCTTTTGAAAGCATGAACTAGTGATGAAATTACCTAAAATACTTGACAATGAAATGATTATAGACAGAGTACTGGACTATATTGTGGGGACTTGACTTTTTACTCAGGTGCTGAAGCCCCAGCCAGTGGTGCAAACTCCAGCTCAGCGGATGCCCTCCCCGAGCAGCCAACAGTCAGGTTATATATATTCCCATACATGTTCATATGTGTAAATATGTACATTATACAGGTACAGAAATGTGGATAAACATTTGCATACAAATACATCAGACATATCTGTGTATATACCATACTACACCATATACCTTATTCCACTTTATCTGTTTTTATAAATCTAACAGAAGTACGAAAAAGATTGGTGAATTCTGGAACCACTTCACCCCCTGGCCCTCCGGCAGGGTTAGTTCGGCCCACAGTTGCACCGAGTGGGTTGCATCAGACACCAGGATTCCCTCCCAGACCCCAACTCTTAGCACAGTCTGCACCCACCAGGCCAGGTCAGTAGGATCCTAGGACGCTTGACATTTGTGTTTGCGAATTTTCTCTGTGGATGAGCAAGTTTTGTAAGAAGTGGAGTTTTTTCTTTTCTTTTCTTTTCTTAGATGAAGGATTTTTGTAGAGTTTTTTATGTCTGTCTTTATCTTTCTCTTGATACTTAGGATTATCTTGTTTCATATTCCTTGTCCATTAACTTCTGTGATTTTTCAGTTGCTCTTACCTTGTCTTAATTCTTTCTGTGTGGCGTGTTTTTGTCTTTTGTATTTTGTGAGTAACTCAGAAATTCATTCTTTTTTATGGTTGTTACCTAGACATCTCTAGCATAGCCGTAACAATGTGTTTGTGCAATTTCTTCCAATAACATCTTGGGGTTGTGATGTGCGTGATGTGGGCCTTCCAGGTATTGGTAGTACGAGCCCCCACCGTGTGTCCCCTTCCCCCGCTCTTACCCATGGACCCCCCAGCCACAGCCACCCCATGAGTGCCAGCGTTCCCCCTAGCTACAGCACACCTGCCTCAATCCTGCACTCACATCCTGCACGTGAGTCACCCAGATTTCTTCCTGGGAAAGAAGGTTTAAAACTAATAATGTTTAGGGTTAAATGTGGAAGGCCTTGAAGATACTGATGCAGAAAGAGAATATAAAGACCATAATTGTTATCAGAAGGAAGGAAAATATGTTACCTTGAATTCACTTGATGTTCCATCAGGTCCAGATCCCTCAAGCACTGGAAACGGCCCTCCTGGCCCCCCCATGCCACGGCCAGTGCTGCCGAGGGAACGGGGCTACTTTGACCGTTTTGTGGAGTACCTTGTAGGTGATGGCCCAGCCAACCGCTTTGCCCTTGTGTGCCGCCAGTGCGAATCACATAATGGCATGGCACTGAAAGATGAATTTCCATATTTGGGTGAGGACTGAGGAGGGATTACTCTTCTTTTTTTAATATTTGCTTATATGCATATATGTGTTTGTATATCCATACATCTTGTTATTGATTTAAAAACAAATTAGGCACAAGTAGATCCCAGAGTTCTCATTCCTCCCCCCTCTACAGCTTTCCGATGCGCTTACTGCTATTATTGGAATCCTGCTCGAAAACAGCGTCCAAGTGCACCTCGGCTGGAGGACCTGACCCCACAGCCTCCACCTTCTCTCTCAGTACCAGAGGATCAGGAAGAGGATGAGGAGGATGATGATGAAGAGGAAGAGGATGAGGAGGAACAAGAAGAGCAAGAATCTTCATCAGGGGAGGAGGAAGAGGAGGAGGAAGAGGAGGAGGAAGATGAGGAGGGTGGAATGGATGAGGAAGGCAAGTAGGGGGGAAAAGGAGGGAAAGGAATAAGCAAGAGAAAGAAAAGAGGAGGAAGCAGTTAATAATAATGTTGTTTATAGAAAGAGAAAAAGTCTGATAGATTAGAATTGATTAATGCAATGCCGCCGGGAACCCTCTGCTTTCAGTTTAGTGTTATGTTAAATGTCTATGCACATAGATTGGTCTGCCAGTGCATAGCCACAAAGGAATCAATTTGTACTTCTTGTGACCTCACCTTTCCTTGAGTTGGCAGGAAAAACACTTTTCTGCTAATGCTATCAATATTGATACTGTTATTTTTAGTATAGATATTGTAATTACTATATTGTTATTGGCATTACTAATAGCAGTATCAAATATTAGAAAATATTATTGAAAATCAAGGAAAAGGTTAAAAATGTGAGACAGGTACTTCTTGTAACTGGCCCATTGGTGATCTAGTACTTGTGGAGCCATTCATATGTAAAAACAATTACTAAATTATACACACAGTGGGCATGGCATGTATGCACATGCCAAACCCGTCAGCATGTGGTTAATAGTTTCTCTCTCTCTTTTTTTCTGTTGTCTATTGAGTTATGAGTAAGTTTAGTATGAGAATGTTATCATATGTCAGTTAAAGATTGGAGTATGAGTATTTCATGTGAAGTCAATGTAAGATTAAAAGTTCATAATGTTCTTTTATAATTTACAAGAATTTAACAACTTTGCTCTGGCAGAATCAGGAGGCAGCAGCTCTGGGGATGAGGAGGGAGCTGCATCATCATCTGAGCAGTCAAGCGCAAAACCCACATCCAGCCAGGAAGGTATGGCAGCCGAGGGCCCGGCGCCTGACCCCCCTAAGAGCTTATAGCATAAAGGACTAGCCTGTTTGTGAAAAAGCACTTGTTTACTGATATAAAGCTGAGCACTTGTCATTATTTGGAGGTCATTTGAGAATGTAATTGAGAAGAGTGAGTTCAGTGGTGAAGAGGGCAGCTACCTGACAGGTGTGTGTTGCTCCCACCAAGCAGGTTCCTTGGAGGACGTAGCCAAGTCAACTCCATCGTCCATCACGTCCTCTGACCCCAGTACCTCCGATGATCACCTCCAGCAACCCAACTGCCATGCCAACTCCTGCACCACTGCCTCTTCCACCACCACCACCACACCCTCTTCAACCACAGAGAATGAGGAGACAGAGTGATGCTGCTGTCTTGTGCTGCCGTTTTACTCTGTTTACCCTGAGCTCTTAGATCTGCTGACTGTGGTGTCCTTCTGTGCTGCTGCTGATGCTGTTTAGACTTGCTTTTCTGTGGTAGCTCCATGCTCTTTACCTCCCCTTCTACTTCTCATGCTAGCAGGTAGCCATTACTGAAGCCTGATAAGTATTTTCACAGGACATGATCTTTCCTTTCCCTGAAAGATACAAGTGATGGATGCATAAACTAGTTACATGACCTGGCCCATCTCAAGGTTCTGCCTGAATTAAAAATCCTTCCCTGACCTTGCCAACTCCTGCCTGCTCCTGTCTGCCTATCCCAAGTGATAATTAACCCATGCCAGTTACCATACTGATAATTTTTTGTTCATTAATGAAGTGCTTTCTCCATGTTATACAGCCTTCCTTTGTAGCTATTACCCAAAGAGTCATGTACCAGCCCTATGACCTTTTATCCCTGGTGTTTACATTTACAGATTTTTGCAACAGTAACAGGAGAATCATTTCCCCTTTCCCAGTCCTTTTCATGTGTCCAGTGAACTGAGTTGTGTGTTTATCAAGCTCTAATGCTTAGTAGGTGTTTATTCAAGCTCTGATACTTTGTGATTGATGGGCATATGAATGATTTCTCATTGAAGGTTAAGGGCTTTAGGATGAAAGTATATGTATGAGTTTCAATAAACAGTCATTTCAGAGAAGAGATCCATAAGAGACCAGTTCAGTGTTGATTCTGGTACTCTCTTTCTTTGTGTGTGTTTGGGTTGGTATATGTGTGTGTGTGTCTGTGTGTGCGGACACTTGGAAGTGTGTTAGAGCTTGTTTTAATATGTTTGAGGTGGTGATAAAATTACAGGATAACTTGAAAGTTTACTGTAGCTCTCTTAGTTGTCCTGCAGTTTGATATGTTTGCTAGCCAAGGAGCCAGATCTTAGGCTATATGCTTCACCCTTTGCTCACATGCAGGTGCTATTAGTATGTTTGTGGCTGGTTATCAACACATGTACCTCGTCTCACCTTGACACAACAGTCAGTAGTCAACCAGATACTTGTCAGATCTGCTTTAGTGTTTCCTCCAGCCTCTCCACATCTTTGTCTCTCTCTGCTCACAGGGCTTGAGGGGACGAGGGACAAAGGCACTGGAAGGAACATGCTCAAAGCACTTCCAGTTTTCATTTCTGTACTTGAGGGTTTTACTGAAATGATTTAATTATCTTCTTTTCCTACTTGCTGTACTCTGCAGAGATGATCACACACCTGTCCGACGGTTTGTGCTGCTTCCAGTTCTATATGATGATGTGAAGTAAGAATGATTCTTTGAGTCTTGATCATCCATTAGTGTTGGTAGAAGATTTGTTGATGTAATGAACTCTGTTGGTTGCATTGCTGTGAGACACATTGTGTATCAAGTGGAAACCAAGAGAAGTAGATTATGTTGGAATTATTGGTTAATTGGATGGAGAAAAGGAATGAATGCACTCTACTAAGAAAGATATTAATTGACTTCAGACAATGAAGAGAAGAACAACTTTATAATCTTCCTTTTGGTACTGTTAGATTTTGAAGTTGAAAGATAATACAAATTTTGGTCTAAATTATTTCCAGATTCTGTGAATTTTGTTTTGCTCTAATGTACCATGTTTCTCTCATCTTTCACACACCATGAAGCTCTGTACTCTGAGTAATCCAAGGATACTTGTAAACTATTGCAATACATCATTTTCTGTGACTATAAAGATTGCAAAATCACATTTATTGCAACAACAAAAACAACACAATGGGCAGTGACAAACACCATGATAGGGGTGAAGTTAGTAATATCACAGCTGAAATTGATGCTTAATGATGCTTATGCAATCAGTGATAACAGAATATAACTTGCCAGATCAGAAGAAATGGTGCCAATCAGTTGTATTTTTTGTGACGAAAAATAGGTTAACAGACGTAGATGAAACAGTATTTCATAAGATGGCCCACTAAATCCTACTTCAGTATGCGAATAAGTTCAGAGAATGGTACATACAGAGTTTAGAAAGAAAAAGCTGTCAGAAATCTCTTTGGGGTGCAAGTAGATAACATGTAGATGATCACTTTGTGTAAGGAACTGTGCTTTTATATCTTTTATTTTTGAATAAACATTGTCACATTTAAGGCATTGGGGATAGGAGTACAGACCTCGCTGATGCTGTAATAGCAAGGGTTTTTTGTGAAAATGTTTTTGGTAAACAGTCACCCATTTTTGAAAAAAAGAAAAGATTAGAAAATAATATTGATAAATGTTGTACAGTTTCCCTCTCACTAGAAACACAGGGCCAAGAGTAACTTGTAATGCTGATACGCATTTCTTTTATTTTACTATGTTGAGTAGGTGTTTGTAAAGTGTGGATTAAGTGTCATAGCACTCGTCAGTAGCACAAATGTGGCATTAGCTCTAGGTCATGGCAGATATGATAACATCAGCAGCTTGGGGGACGACCTGAAGTGGCTGGTGGACAACGAATGAAGATTGCAGGAGCTTTGCTAGTATGATGGAGAGAGTGGTTGATAGCTGTTGCTTCCTCTTGTATTGTTACTTCAATAGCTAACTGGTGAAAATGTTAAATAATTGTCAGGATGTACTCATACTATAATTTTGTTACTTTTCTACCTTCTACCATTTTACTATGGTCATTTTGAAAATGATCACCACCACAAAGCTAAAATATCTGAGTTGGAGTGAAGGTCTCTAATGGCACTTGGTTCATTCATTGTCCATGATAAGATCATGGAATCAGGAAATAAGGAATAAGTAATGTATAAAGAGAAGTACAAGCCTAGTGGAATTTGCTGTGTTTTGGATATACATTTTTTAAAGTAATACAAAAATAGGTGTAAAATAACTGGTGCATACAAGGGCAAATGAAATGAGAATCAAGCCCATACTAACATTACTTAACATATCTTTATTGTTCCTTTTAACAGAAAGCTAATACAAGTCATATTTTCTGTTAATGTTTTGAAGAGTGTTTGGTGTTATTGCTCAGATGGCTTTGACAAGTATTAGTTCTCAGGTGAAAGAGTTTGTATCACCTTGGCAAAGATACTCCCTCTATCATCTCACATGTGGATGCAGATCCAATTTTTCATCTTTGGTTTTGCAAATTGAATCTTGGATTTTGCATGTTATGTGTGTGGACTTTCTGGTTTAGAGCCAATACTAATGCTGTACAACTTTCATAGATGAATTTGATATATATAAATCTGAAGATAACTTTGTAATTGTAGCACTTCATTGTTGTTTCCAAATTTATAGAAAAAAGAAATATAGAAAAAAAAATTAAGTTACATTTAGATGAAATGTTAACCCTTCTTTGTGTGTTATAGGAATTATATGGTAATTATCTTTCCAAAATAGAGGAAATGAGCTTAATCTCGCAATATGGACTTATGAGAGTCTATTTGTTCTACCAGTATTATAAATGGGTTTCTTATATTCAGAATTGCTACAATCTGCAGTACCTAAACATCATGATGCTTGAAATTTGAAAATAGAAGAGTATATTTTCTGATCTTTTTGGACCTTATACTTTGATACTTTGAATATTTCTCCCAGGGTTTTATTAGACATCTCAGAGTTTGACCTAAAATGGGGTTTTGTGCTAAAAGCATTCTGTGCAATAGACAGAAGTGCAGCCATTGTTATCTAATAAGAAATCCATGGTCACTGGTGCATACTTCAACTTGCAATATTTACCATTTGGTAGAGCTAACATGATGTACAAATGATCTTGTTTTCTAGTACTTTGTATCTACAAAAATGGCTACACTTTTTTACAAAAAGATATGTTGAAATATTGATAATATATTTAATTTTGCTTTAAAGATTTAGATGTGTAGGAATGTGTTCGTTCTCTAACCTTTATTCTCCAGAAATGTTCAAGACGGTCTTTGCCAGGTACAGGGAAAAAGACTCATAAGACGGAAGTGAATGATTTTAGAAATACAGCAGTTACCTGGCACTGAGCTTGTCACCTAAAGAATAGGTCATAGTACAGTATAGCTGTTTGTGTAAAGCTTGTAAGAGAGTGTACAGGGTGGAGGAATGTTCACTATTTCCCCAAAATGTCAGCTTTGAAGTTTGTATAATATTTCTTGTCACTTTGAAGAAAATAAATATATATAAAAGTTCAGTTTAGGAATTTCTCTTCATTTATACTGAAAGGTAGATCATGTTTGTTTTATTCCCAGTTCATTCCTCACCTGCTGATGTTATCTGGAATGTTAAAGAGTGCCTTAATTGTGATTTAGTGTGCATAGAGGTGAGTGTCTGTAATACAGTGTAGTAATGCAAGAAAAGAGGCACATACACGGGTTGGGGCTTGCATTTAGCACAAAGGAAAGGTTTTAATTGTTTTCTTTTGAGGTTCTTACTTGGATTAAGAGAACAATCTAGATAGTACTGTAGCAATCAAATGGATTTTTTGAATATTTAAATGCTAAGCCTGGGAATTTCTCCAAACCCATGTCAATTAGTCATTTCTTGAAATAGCTTTCTTTTGAAGTTACAAAACAGTTCAGGATTTACATAGAGATATATAAAACTTGTAGATTATTTTGTTATAGTTGTATTACTTTCTTAGAACATTTATATTTGTAGTTTTATATATTTTTTGCACCTGTTTAGTTTATTGTTTAAAGGAGTGGTTTAAGGATTATACATGAAAGTATGCTATTAAAATATCTTAAATCTCTATGTAGGTTACAAAGACCATAGTTGGTCTAAGCTGAACACTGCTTCTCTCAGTAAACTGGTGATATTTGTCTCGGTATTTTCTTTAATCCTTATGACTAAAGCAGTGATTTATTTTTTAAGACATGAACAAGTGTCTTAAGTACTGGTAATGGAAGATTCACTCACACATAGTAAACATGTGAATAATATGAAATAACACATCCTATTGACACTAGTGTAAGAATTAAACAAAACTACTGGGAACAGTGTATACACCCCCCCCCCCCCATATACTGATTTCAGGGAGAATTCCCATTTAGAAATCAAATATTTCTTGTATTATTCTTTTTGAAAAGATGGACTTGCAAGTAAAGATTAACATCTAGATGAAAAAATGTATAAGAGGTGGATGCAGAAAAAATCACTCCCAAATAAGTCAGAAAAAAAATGCCTTCATATTTAAAAACAACAGCCATGGGAATGTGTCCATGTGTTCATAGAAACCACAGAGAGAGAGAGAGAAAAAAAGGTAAGATACATGAAAGGATGCTTAATGGTTAAAACATCTGTGAGACCAGAGCTATTTAAACTGGGGTGTTCAGTGATGGGTTTCAGGAGGTCCATGATGATCAGATAAAAAGTAATATATAAAGTGTTTTCCTTAGACTTTAATAATGCTTTGTGTATCACATGTAAATATGAGGCAATCAGATCTCAATAAATACATTATATGCATTATAATTCATTAATAAAAAAAATCTGCTGTATCAACATATAAGGTCATTAGCGGCATATTAAAAATATAGAGATAGGATGAGGCTTAGAGGTGAAGCCCCAGGGTAAGAAAGTTTTTTTTTTTTTTGTTCCTATGGCGATGTTTGGGGATTCCGTGAATGATTAATGACTAAAACAAATAAGTGTGCTATATATCATAGGTCATACAGCACATGGTAAAGTAATGTGGCAAAAAGTGTAAGAATTAATTAAGGATTAGCAAAAATATGTTAGATGTCAAAGGTTGTAGAGCGCTATAGGTTAGTATGTTAGTGAAAAGGGTAAAGAGGGATTAGCAAACGGAGTACAAAGGCCGTTTGGGACTGACACAAAGCCAGCCTTTCATTCTTCCCGCAAGGCTCTCACACTTTAGGGTGTGGACAGAAGGGGATGAAAAAAGGAAAAGGAAATGCGGAGGAGAAAAGACTAAAATTAGTTGAGGCGAGCTCTGATGTCTAAGATAGGGGTTATACCCTTACAGTCTCCTAAGAGCAAGGGGTTGGTACACTACATATTTACATACAACATTGTGTTAAGGTGAATATTTCTGGGGAATGGGGTCCATAGCTTACATTAGATTCTTAAAGAAGTCTAGAACCACTGTGCTAGACATTAAAAGTCATAGGACAATGGAATAGCATTACAAGATAGTATAGAAGTAAAAAGTATAGAGGGGGAGCAATTAGGGAAAGGGACTAGTATAAAAGGGGGAAGGGGTTAGGGGCAGATAGATTAAATGGAGGGTATCTATGTGTCTGAAGACGGAGAACAAGTTGTCAAAAGAAAAAGTCTGTCAGCGTAGGGGATCATGGATGTGTGGTCAAATGAAGAAAAGGATGGATGTCGACAGTCACTTCGAATATTAAAGAAATTGGAGTGAGGATGAGGGAGAGGAGTGTTCCTTGAGTCACGTTTAGGAAGTTTAGGATGTCCAAGTTTTTTTTTTTTTTTTTTTTTTTGGGGGGGGGGGTCTGAAAAAAAGGATTTCTTATGAGCGGGGAAGAGAGGAGACACTCAAGAAGCTATGGAATGAGTAGGTTTAGGAGAGGATGTGGTAGAAGATGAGGTGAAAGTTTAGATCTTGTGCAACAGGTAAAGTGCAAAAGGGAGGCACGTAACAGGGAAGTGGAGTATCTGGATTGGCAAAAGAATTTGACTGGGAGATACAGGGGGTATGGGGAAGAAGTACTGAGGGAGATACCGTGACATGTTAGGAAGAAGAGGGATGGAACATGTTGGAATAGGTAGCGAGAAAAATAAAACTCATCGGCGTGTTTCTTATTAAGCCTCACATGGTGTGAGGTCTAATTTGTATCTGAGAAGTGCAACTTCAGACTCTAACTTATAGGAAGGCCAGGTCTTATAAAATACGTTATGGAAGCCACCATAGCTGGCACCCGTATATGATTGTGCATAGCAACTTGAATTGTCATAACCAGACTGAGGAGCAACAGTGTTTGGCTAGGTCCAGATTACTAAGTTTGCAAATAGATTGCAATTATAATGCCCTTTGTACTTTTTGAACTGAAAGGTGAACTTGGAAGAAATTCTAAGTGTGGCGCAAAAGGTTGAAGATGGGCAAGGGAGTTGAAGGGAATGGGTTATGGTGGTTTAGGTAAGGGGGTTAGATAAACTGAACGATATTTATGCGTCTGAGGAAGGAGAACAGGTTGTCAAGGCAGAAGCTGTGGGATTCTGTAAGGATGTCTATGTTGGGAGGTTGGTGAAGGGAGGATATGTGTGGAAAAGCAGTGGTGCGTGGAACTGAAAGAGGGACATTACATAGGGGACATAGGGGGCGGGTCAGAGCGTGACCTTAGATAGGCGTGTGTTAGGCGAGTGTGACCAATATGTAAGCGTGCGAGGGCCGTCTCCCAACATCTGTTCCAGTGAAATGGAGCTGACCAAGGGGAGATAATTGTTGGTTTTACAGTATGTAGTTTATTATTGTGGATGCTTGACCAGAAAGATTGTCATCGGGTATACAAGAAGGCTTTAAAGTAATAATCCGTAACTGGAATATGTGAGAAGCGTGGTTGACAGATGGAACAACCAGTTCTGGATCTTACAGACAAGGGGATTGGTCGAGTGCACAGACTTTATGAGGGTTAATGAGTTACAGGAGTCAGTAAAAATAGTGAAAGATGAAGGCAAAAGGAGTGCATACATTTCTGCAGTAAGGGCACTAGATTCAGGAGGTAGGGTTTATTTGAAAGTGCGATTTGGGAAGGTTACTGCGAATCCAGCTCCTAATGTGGATTTGGAACCGTCAGTGTAAACATGAATGCTGGAGGAATGAATGGAGACATGGTCAAGGAAATGAGTGAGAAGGATAGAGGGGGGAATATCTGATTTTGGTGGGTCAGGGAAAACTGAGGAGCAAATACAGGGGTTAGGTATAAGCTATGGAGGAATGGAATGGACAAAAAGTGGGAGAGGTCGGAGGTGAGGAAAGGGGGAATGGGAGAGGAGGGTATCCATGCGTACGGGGAGAGGAGTAGGTAAACGTGGAGAAGAGGTAAAGGTAGGAAACAGGGATTGTGCGATAGTTTGGCAAGGTGAGCAAGAAGGAAGGTTGAGGCAGAGAAGTAGATATGGCATCCATAATCTAGAGTGGTAACATGAAGATGGAGGACGAGTTTTGCGATTTGGGCCCCAGGATATGTGGGAAAGAGCTTTTTCTTTAATGTACAAGGTATGGGCTCGCCAGGACAATTTGGTCAAATATAACGCCTAGGAATTTGCCAGAAGAATGGTATTGGAGTGGAGCGTTATATAAGCAGTGACGGTTGGGGACCTATACGTGAGCAAGAGAAAAGGAGAGAGACTTGGAGGCAGAGAAGCAAAAGCAATGGTTAGTGGCCCAAGAAGATACCGATGTTATTGCGGACTGAAGAAATTGACAGAGATCTGGTATGGATGTGCCAGAGGCATAGATGGTTAAGTCATCAACATATAGTGATGCCCGGGCTCCTGGTCAATGTCATTTACAGCAAGAAGGAATAAAGCGGTACTAAGTACACTTCCTTGTGGGACGCCTTCGAACTGAGGAAAGGATGATGACGTGGAAAAGGTAATTTTGACCTGGAAAGTACGTTTGGAAAGATTGCCATCTGGTATATGTTTCCACGTATACCTATGGAGGACAATTGTTGGAGAATATGGTACTGCCATGTGGTGTCATATGCTTTTTCTAGATCAAAGAATATGGCTAATACGTATTGATGGCCTGCAAATGCAGATGAAATATATGTCTCGAAATGGTCAAGGGGGTCTGTTGTACTTCGGGCACGGCGGAAACCAAACGGAAGGGGAAAGGAGATTATGAGATTCAAGATACCACATTAAGCGGAAGTTAACCATTCGTTCTAGTAGTTTGCACAGGCAGCTAGTTAGAGCTATGGGGCAGTAATCTTGGGGTAGGGTACCTGATTTATTGGGTTTTAAGAAAGGTAGGATAAGAGCTTCTCGCCAATGAGAAGGAAAATTTCAAAAGAAAAAAAAAAAGTTCAAAAGAAAAAGGAGCATTATCGGGCTTATCAGAGGATAGCGTGAAGGTGATATGGGGTGCATTTCTTGATGGCTTTAATGGAAGAAAATTGTGGGGAAAGGTGAGAGCCACTACTGACCTGGCTGAAATAGTCACCCAGTTCATTAGCTACTTGGGGAGGATCAGAAATGAGAGTATCTCATATATGGAGGACGGGTGCATGATGGGGGTGATGTTTGCCTGATAATTTATGGATCCGACGCCAAACAGCTGAAATAGATGTAGATGTAATTGAGGAAACACACTTTTGCCAGCTATTTGTACGGCGAAGATGGACAGAAGCTCTTTTAAAGGAAATCAGGGCTGATAGCTGGTAAGGGGTGCCTCGTTTTAAGCAAAGCGCTTTGGTGCAATCAGAATTCCACCATGGAACACATTTAGAGGTATAAGGTCTTGAAGTTCGAGGAATGGCTGTATAGGCAGCTCTTAGGATCGTGGTTGTAAAACATTGTAGCATACCTGAAATGGACGGTAAGGGGGATAGAGGGATAGGTATAGTAGAGAGTGAAGTGAAAGTATGCCAGTCAGCTCTATCAAAGCACCAGCGTGGAGGATTAGGAAGTGGTACATACGAAGTAGGAGAAGGGAGTACTGGGAAGTGGTCTAGAACTGACCTGTGGAAATCTAAATGAAGAGAAGGGGAGTATAGAGAAAAGTTAAGGCATGAAAAGGATTGTGTGCGCATGTCAAAGTCTGTGGGGCGATCTGAATTAAGAATAATTAGGTTATTTGTGAAGAGGAAGCATTCTAGAGATCGGCCTCGAGAGTTGGTGGTAGAGTCACCCCACAGAGTGTGGCGGCAGTTGAAATCACCAACTACGAGGAAAGGTGGTTGGAGTTGGGAAATTTGAGTTTCATAGGCAGCAAAGTCAATGGGATGGGATGGGGAGAAGTAGACTGAAATCACTGTGATCCAGCGGCGAAGAAAGATGCGAATAGCTGTGAACGGGACAGTGGTTTGTAAGGGAGGTATGATGTAAGGTGTTTGATGATGAAGTATAGACGAGACACAAAGGGAGTGTGAGGAAGAGATAAAATGGTAATTGGGAATTGGAATAGGAGGATATGTAAGGAAAGTCTATTGGAAGCAGATGATAGATAGATTATAAGAAACAAGGATATGACGTAAGTCTGGTCTGTGAGAATGGAAACCGCGAATATTCCAATGTAGGAGAGCTATATCTTAGTTATTTTATGAGTGAAAGCGTCGGTACATATTGGGGAATCTGGGGGGGGGGGGCAAAGGAGCTAGGGGGTGTAAAGGAGGGGTATCAGGAAGTGGAGGATCTGGGGAAGGGCATTGTTGTGACATGAGTGATTCATGTGCATATCCAGGAGGGAGTGGAAAGGATAGAGGGGATGGAGGGAGGGAGAATGTGCGTATAGTTGGAGTTGAAGGGGGTGGGTTGTGTTGGGAGGGAGTAGATGTGGGGGGAGTATTAGTGGTAGGAGGGTGGATATCGGAAGGATGGATAGTTTGAGTTGAAGGGGACGTGTTGTCTTGGGAGGGATTAGGAGGAAGGGGTGTAGGGGTGTTGTGAGTAAGAGGGGGATGGATATCAGGAGGATGGGTATTGGGAGGATGGATATCGGAGGTGGACGGAATTGAGGGGGTTAGGTTGTGTTGAGGGGGAATATTAGTAGGAGGAGTATGAATATCGGCAACCACTTCAAGTGTGGAAGGAGCACGAGTTATGGGATCTTGTGTCTCAAGCATATAGCTTTGAATGTCATCCATTGTTTCTGCAGTGGAGTTGGTTGGAGAGTTTTGTGAGAAGGTAATTGTTTCTGCAATGGAGTTGGTTGGAGAGTTTTGTGGGATAAAAGTTTTCTTATGAGGGGGGGAAGAGGAGACTGGTGTCTCAGGAATAAAGGTAAAGGTAGGTGGAGGTGATTGTGCTGTAGGGGAAGAAGGGTTAGAACGTTTAGTCTGTCTACTGCGGGTAGTGCGGGGAGGGAGAGGGGTTGGTGTTGGGGCTGTGGTTGAGATTGGGGTGTTTGGGTTTAGGGACTGCATCGAGCGTTTCCCACTTGGTGTCCCACAGAAGTACAGGGTCTATCAGATTGTCGAATGCTGTGAAACAACCAGAGATTGTCTCAGCAAAGCCCCGAGCACACACCTTCAGCCTATCCAGATGAAACACCCTAGGGTGAGCAAAGGAATTGGTCTGAGGGATGTAGAATGTAGAAGTGGAAATGGGGACATTTTGGGGTGGAGGGGGAGGGGCTGAGCGAACGATGTTACTGGAGCATGGAGTATGAGAGAAACCTTGTCGACATGCTTCCTGTCTGGTTTCACGTAAAGTGAGACCATTTTTGTATCTGAGAGTTGCTACTTCAGATTCAAACTTGTAAGTGGGACAGCCTCTATAAAATACATTATGGGGGCCGCCGCAGTTGGCACATGTTCGTGTTTGTGCTGAGCAGTTTGATCGATTATGACCAGGTTGGGCACATATGGGGCATCGGTCTGTGGAACGGCAATGTTTGGCAGGATGTCCAAAGCGCCAACAGTTTTGACATTGACGGGGAAGGAGTTGGTATGGTCGAACAGGGAGGGATTGTCCACCGATGTAGATATGTAAGGGAAGGGCATGTGTACAGAAGGTAATTTTGACAATGTTGGTCGGATTCTTTCATTGACCTTTAGGAGGAATGGTGTAGCAATGTACTGATTTCACATCTTGGTCTTTGAGGCATCCTAATAAGTCTTCTCCGCAGTCTGACCAATCTTTGGTATCGACTGGGCAGTTTGCTGGGGAGAGAGACAGTTCCAGTACACTTATTAAGGGGTGGATGAGGTTCTGCAGGAATGGGGTTGCCAGAATGATCAGTTAAATTTGATAGTGCTATAGATTCAGTTTCTGATCTGACTGTTACAAGACGGGATCGATCGCGTCTGGTATAGAAAGGGACTCTGCCTACTTGTTTTTGGAGGCATTGTTGAAAGAGAAGAGTGTTGCCTGAGTATGGAGCTGTAGAAGGGATCACGAAAAATCGGTCCCATTTAGCTGTGCTAAACAGAGTATTTAAGATATCTGTAGGGTTGGTGGTGGTGGATGGTCGGGGACGTGTGGAAGAGGGAGTACTACGGAATGATGGAGAATTAGGCTGCAAGGTAGTAATAAGGGAGGATTGGTTGCTTAATGATGGTTGCGGGGGTAGAGTTGATGAATTTGAGGAAGTTGGGAGGGTAGGAATGTCTTCTGGAGATTGATTCTCTGCTTGGGTGGGTAATGCACTAGTAGGCATTTAGGAGTGGGTAGTATTTTCAGTGTTCGGAGCCGTGGTCAAAGGAGAGCCTGGGTTGGGGCTATTTGATAAAGGGGCTAGCCTCATTGCCTCTAATAAAGGGATTACATTTTCATTACTGGTCATGGGGAACCTGGATTATATAAAAGGCCTAAACGGTCCAGCTCCTTTCGCTACTGAAGGTAAGGGCTAGATTAGTCGGCAGTACCGTGCCCATAGTTCCCGCAGGCCGTTCAGGACTGGCACTAGGTCAGCCTTTCATCCTCTCAGTACGGCTCTCACACCTTAGGAAGTAGATAGTAGAAGGGGTTGGAGAAGGGACGGAAACAAAAAGCTGGAGGGGGAAAAGACCATGCAAAATTAGTTGAGTCGAAGCCTGAGGCCCTAGACAGGGGAGATCCCTGCATTGGGTCTCAGTCTCCGTCTCCTAAGCCCCCCCCCCCCCACGACAACAACAGGCAAGGGATTGGGGGGGGTTAAGGGTAAAGAATCTTAATTATTGTCCATGGTGAGCCTAAATAAAATGGGGAAAAGAAACGGTTTATCCCTCAGGGTCCCCATAGAGGAAAAGGGCTTGGCAATTAACCAAGGAAAACCGTGCCCATGGCTCACGGAGGCCATTCATGACTGACATAAAGCCAGTCTTTCATCCTTTCATCACGGCTCTCACACCTTAGGAATGGGACAGAAGAAGGGGATGAAGAAGATACGGAAGAGAAAAGGAGAAGAAAAGACCAAGCAAAATCAGTTAAGGTGAGGGCTGAACTACAAGGTAAGCCCTACATTGGGCTTCAGTCTGTCTCCTAAGAGACAGAGACAACAAAAATTTGCAAGGTATTGCGAGGGGGTCATAGAACTAATGAGGAAATGAAAGGATATATTTCATGTAATTATGCATAGAGGTGTAAAAAGATTTATGAATAAAGTACTTGTTTTCTTGCGCCTATGCATATTCATGTTAAATACTGTCCTACAATAGGCCTGAACAAAGAACTATTAAAGCCTTATCTACAGTTTATTTGTTTGTTTCCACAAATAAGAATGATGACAAATTACAAATTACAAATACCACCCAACACTGCCCCAAAAAATTTTGAAGCCAGTCAAGGGACACCATTCATTTATTTTTAATTTTTGACAGTCATCTTTATTTCTCTTGGCTTAATTTCCTTTTGTAGTAATATATGCTTACAAAAATCTACTGTTTGTACATTTTTCATTGTAACTCCTTATTCATATGAGAATGAAATAAATGAACTTAAATTCCACAATGTTTACTTTTGCCTTTTCTACATCAGTATTTTTATTCTATTTTATGCTGAAAATGAAAACAAAATATGGAGGACTGGATGACAATATCAAAATGGATTTAATCTGATAGGACATGTCAAGACATGTGAAAGGTTGACGTTTCTTTGTATAAGTAGGGAAATATATGTGTGTGTGTTTTGTGTGTGTGTGTGTGTGTGTGTGTGTGTGTGTGTGTGTGTGTGTGTGTGTGTGTGTGTGTGTGTGTGTGTGTGTGTGTGTGTGTGTGTGTGTGTGTGTGTGTGTGTGTGTGTGTGTGTGTGTGTGTGTGTGTGTGTGTGTGTGTGTGTGTGTGTGTGTGTGTGTGTGTGTGTGTGTGTGTGTGTGTGTGTGTGTGTGTGTTGTGTGTGTGTGTGTGTGTGTGTGTGTGTGTGTGTGTGTGTGTGTGTGTGTGTGTGTGTGTGTGTGTGTGTGTGTGTGTGTGTGTGTGTGTGTGTGTGTGTGTGTGTGTGTGTGTGTGTGTGTGTGTGTGTGTGTGTGTGTGTGTGTGTGTGTGTGTGTGTGTGTGTGTGTGTGTGTGTGTGAAAATCATTGTCATTTGATGTTCACAGGAAAAATGTATATTATTCTTCCTTGGGAAAAATCTAACATACAAAAATGCAAATAAAAGTTATTGTTTCAGCACTAACATAAAGGAAGCCTCTCACTGCTTTCATCACGAAAATTCAGCACATGAAGGCGACATGGAATAGGATCTTGAACTTCCCAGAAGTTTCCTTTCATTCAATTAACACTGAAAAAAGACAATATATATTTTATTGATAAATTTATTTTTCACATCTCATCATCTCTCAATTTTTTATTTTCAGTCATTAGTTTATTCCATATCACTATATCAATTAACTTTAAGGTTCCTTCTTTTCAAAATGAAATCTAAATAAATCCCAAAATCACATGGGTTTTCATCACTGTTGCTATATTATATGAGAACAAAAGAAAAATGCCCTTTAGCCTCCATTACATTTGTGCATATGCCACTTTTGGGCTTCCTACACTTGGATCTGCTTAGGCATAACAAGTCTCTCATTGCAGCTGCCTCCTCATCAGATACCACACTACTGCAAGGGTCCATATCCCACCAGCACACTTACAACCTTCAGAGCATTTCCAGGCATATAAGGGAATTTTCCATTATTTTCATGTAAATACTGCTGTCCCTGACTGGTCTTTATAATTCAACAGCATCTCTGATTTTTTTCTCCACATTTTGCAGGCGAGATTCGTACAGTTCTAAGTCACTCGTCTCAAGCAAACTTTCCCTTTCCCTCATGAGCCTTTCCAGTTCTAGACTTGAGTTCAACCTCCCCGCTCTTGATAAATTCATTTCTTTTTCTGATGCCATCATTTCTCTATCTTCTCTATGTGGGTCCCATCTTTCTTGCTTCCCTCTGTGAGGGCTGGCCTGCAATGGTCTTTTTCTGGATGCTGATACGTCTTGAAACTCTTCACTGTCATTTTCCATGCCTGACCCTAGTTTCCTTCTTGTTCTGGGGGATCTCTCAACATCCCCAGCACTAAGCCTTGAGCTTGAGCTTGATCTTCTCCTTTGTTGTGAATTGTCATCCTCTACATACTGCCTTCTGTGTCCTAGTCTACCAGCATTTTCTGAAACCACTCCATTACCAGCCTTAGATGCCCTTTGCGCCTGAAGGCTCTTCTTAGGTGAGACCTTGTTGCCACGAGCATCTCTTGTTGGCTCTAAGAAGAGCACATGGTCCTCTAGATTCTCCTCTGGTAGATTCCCAACCGCTCTACTAGGAGAAGGGTACAATGGTTCTGGAGAAGAACTCACAACCTCAGACCTGGAAATTTTGATTATTAGTATATAAAACTAATATACAATTTAGTATCAACAAAACATCAGAAGTTAATTTTGTCTCTTTTCCCTGTATAACATGACTGATTTAAAATACTGTATAAATTTTCAGGTTCATTTAAACTTCATGTCTTATATCATTTTAGCTACAACCTTAACCCACTTCGTGCAAACAACACAGGCAAAAGAAGTCTCCTGTCCCTGATGACATACTTGATCGCAAGTGTATCCTGTGCCTGTGCAACATGGAGCTGGTGCAGCTGGCTAATCGAGCGCACCCATTGCAGTTTGTAGTACTGCTTTTTGCTCACTGCTGCTGCTAGCTGTTCAGACAGCTTCTCCTAAAATATGATAATATATGACAAACATATTACATATTACATGTTGAAGGTACCTATGATATACCAAGACCCAACACACTGTATCAATAGTTACAAAGAAAGTACAAGCTTTCCCTACTGGCATTAAAGTAACGTATTGATTGCTGCACACAAAAATCATATTGCTGAAGCTGATTTTGGTAGAAAATAACCTACCTTTTCTCTGCGCAGGTTGGAAGCTTCCTTCGACAATTTTTCCTCCTCTCGCAACTTTGTCTCTGCCAGCAGAGTCCTTCCTTTCAGCTCCTCGACCTGGGAAGGAAAGCCAATGATGCTTGCTAAACAAAGAGTATTGAAGTAAGTTATTTCTCCATAACAGTTAACTTCCAACTAATTATTTCCGTGTTGAATACATGCCCTTAGTATCCCTAAGACCAATAAATGATTCCTCTAAATGCCAAAAAAATCTATCACATAAAAGTTTGTTAAAGATTATATTGCATTCCTCTAATGGATAGCTCAGACAACAGGCCCAACCTGTTTTTCCAATGCTCTTCGCTTCTTCCTCTCCATCACAAGCTCCTCCCACACATCACTGTCGGGCATGCTTCTGTCTTCTGCCGTTGAGCTTTTGTCACGTTCCTTCAAGATCTGGCGCTGCTGCTCCAGCTCATCCTCAAGCCATTTCAGCTGTGTTGATGATCAGGTGATGATAAACATTCACTCTCATAGATACTCTTTTTCCTTAATTGCTCTGTTCTCTTAACATGTTTTGTGTATGCCTCACAATAATTCAACTGGTTCATCCATGCCATGTAATGTGGCAAACCAAGCTAATAATCACCTTCTGTTCCCTGTTCTTGACAATGACCTCCCTGGCTGACAGGTTGGTTAGTGCTGAAGATAGTCGGTTCTGCAGTGTGTCACACTTGCCTAACTGGTTGCGCAGGTTGGCCTCTATGGTATTCACTCGCACTCTCCACTCTGCGGCCAAATGCTGCTGCAGCTCAGACTCCCTTGAGCACCACTGGAGTGATGATATGAATATCAAAGGATCATTACAAAACAGAGGAGTTAAACAAGGGACACTAGAAAAAATCTATACAGAACATAGCTATAAAAATAGACATTTGGAGAAGGAAGGCCAGGGAATGGAATATATCATAAATAAAGAAAGGTATCTATGTAAAAGCAAACTATCTGCACTAAAGACGAAGAACTCTCCCTAACCTATACCTAGAAGTGTTATCTATCAGATCACCAATGTCCCTGCCCACCTTACCTGTTTCCAGAAGAGCTCCTGTTGGTCCTCTTTCCATGTCTCCACCTCAATGGCAGCTGCACAAAGGAGCTGTAGACGTTGTTTGTGGATCTCACTTGCCAGCTCCTTCTGTTCCAACATTTCACCAGTGAAGGAAGTCCTTGGCTTGCTCTCACTGTGATGGACACTTCCCCACTGTGAGCGGCACACCTGCCTCTGCCTCTCCTCTTCGGAGTCACTGTCATCGCTTGATGCCTCACTGGATGAGTTCAAGGAGTTGTGACTCTCAGAATTAACCTTCATCATTTCAGTGGGATGTCTGACTGACAACTCACTCCTTGGCACCTTGGACAACTCTGCCACTATCCCAAGAACTGGATCCTTCTCTTCCTCAATGTCAGCAGGGTGTGCCACCACAGGAACCAGTGAATAGCCACCTTCAACTACAAGAGGTGCCTCTGGGATGAGGTCCCCAACATCTTCAAAAGCAGATAGATTGACAGAGGTGCTTGCGAGACGCACGTCACCTATGAGAAGGTGGATTTGTAGCTGTGGGTTCTGGCTGAAGTATGCAGAAAGGTTGGCAGGTGTAGCCCGGATCTTCCCCGCAGCTCGCTCAGCCAGGAAGTTTGGCTGTTTTAGATCCTTGATGGGATCCGTCTTGATTGGGTAGCCCAGCAGAGAGTAGCTGAAGCATGCAGGAATACTGGTTGTTTGCATTTTATTTGGCATAAGCTAGAAGGAGAAATTTAATATTAGTTAATGTGAAATGTTACCACTGAATTTTTAAAAGGCAGTGTTGTCAAATGTATTTTTTATGAAAGAAAAGAAGAAGAGAAAAAAAAAAAAAAAAAAAAAAAAAAAAAAAATTGAAGCCACACATGCACTTTAACTAACACACCTGTTCTAAATTTTTGGCAAAGACAATTGTAATAGAGAGAACATAGCTCTCTTCACCAGGGATGTTCTGGTGTCCAATCTGGAAGAAGCCTTCGTGCTCAATGAGTTCTGGCTGAAGCTTGCTTGACTTCTCTGCTCCCACTGGTAATTTGCTGCAACTAGCAGCAGCTTCCCCAAAGGAACCATCCATGGCATTCTTTAACATTTGTCGGCCATTCACACACTTGTTAACAATCTCATCTAGAGAGCTGTGTTTTTGGTCTGTGTTACTCAGGGGTCTGGAGCCCTGGGATGTGCCACCATGGCTATTTCTGTAGTATGCTTCTCTCATGCTGTCTTCAAAGACCTTGAAGTCCCCATAGTCCTCATCAACCTCCATTTCTGTGCCATTCTCCTGCTCTTGCTTTATTTTTATCCCTTCCCATTCGTTTCTCTCTGTTTGGTAGTCTCTTTCATTTCTTATCTCATGATTGTGCTTGTTTGCCCTGTGTTGGACTGCCCTTCTGGGACTAATTTCTGCACTATGCAAGTAAGTGTCTCTTCTTGGAGAGTGTGAAACTGCCTGAGTCCAGCCAGGGGACTTGCTAGCAGGCAACCTAGGCGAGACTCCCTTTCTGTTGGACAGGAAGCCTTGGTCCTCTTTTGAGCCATTTCTAAAGTCAAGGCCTGGATGAGAAACAAGGTCCTCATCTTCATATTCCTCCTCGAGGTCATCCTTGTTCTGCGTGGAGTGGCCTTCCTCAGAGAACCTCCTGTGTGACCGCCTGGGTAAGTTCTCCCTATATGCATCTAGTGACCTGCCAGAAGGGCGGTCCCTGACCTGTCTTCTCACACTTTTGCCAGCGTCCTGAGAGCTCAGTCCACCAGCTTCTTCATTCTGAAATGAAAGCACATTAGATGGAGTGCCAAAAAACTTTTTTTTGCATCTGATTGTTACTTGGTCTTCAACCATATGCTCTTCCCCTAGTATCTCTCTCTCTCTGTCTCTCACACCATCCCTCCTCTCTCCCTCTTATTAGTTGTCACGAGGCTCAGCTCTGCATATCTGATGTATCTCTCTCTTGCCCTCACACTGTCTGTCTGTCTGTCTGTCTGTGTCTGTGTCTGTGTCTGTCTCTGTCTCTCTCTCACCCCTCTGCCCCCTCTCTCCTCTCTCTCTTCTATCTTCTCTCTCTCTCTCTCTCTCTCCTCTCTTTCTTCTCTTGCTCTCGTCTTCTCTCTCTCGATCTCTCTCTCTCATCTCTCCTCTCATCTGTCTCTCTCTCGTCCTCTCTTCTCTCTCTGTCTCTCTCTCTCTCTCTCTCCTTCTCCTTCTCCTCTCTCCTCTCTTCTCCTTCCCTCCTATCTCTCTCTTCTCTCCCTCTTCTCTCTCCTCCTTCTCTCTCTCGTCTCCTATCTCTCTCATCTCTCATTCTCTTCTTCTTTGCATCCTGCTCCACTCTTCTGCTCTCTCTCTGCTCTCTCCTGTCCCGCCTAATCCTCTCTCTCGCTCTCGTCTCTCCTTGACCCCCCTATCCTCTCTTTCGCCCGTCTCTTTCTTCTTCTCTCTCTCTCATCTCCACTTCTCCCTCTTCTGTTCTCTCTTTCTCCGTCTCTCGTGTACTTCTCGACGTATCGATCTCATTCTTCTTCTCTCTCTCTCTCTCAATCGATCCTCACCCTCCTTCCCCTATCTCTCTCGTCTCAACTCCGTCATGTTCATCTCTTCCCTTTCCACACCGTTATCTCTCCTTCTCACTCCTCGTACACGTCTCGTCTCTCCTTTCCGCTCTATGTCTCTGCTCTTCTCTCTTCTCGTCTCACTCTCTTCTTCCTTCCCCCTAATCTTCTCTCTCTCTCTCTCACTATCTCTCTCCCTTCCCCCCTATCTCTCTCTGACTCTCTCACTCCTCAGTCCTCTGCCTTGCCACCCTGAATCTCTCTCTGCTCTCTCACTTCTCGTCTTCCTTCCGCCGTATCGTCTCTCTCTCTCTCCGATCAACTCTCTTCTCCATTCCCCCTCCTACTTCCACCTTCCTCTCATCCTGGTCTCTCTCAACGGCTATCTCTTCCTCCTTCCACTCTCCTATCTCTCTTTCCTTCTTTCTTCTCAACTCTCTGTCTCTTCCCCCCTATCTCTCTCTTCCTCCTACTCCAGTTCGCGTCTCCTTACTCCTTTCCCCACCCTATTCTCTCTCTCTCTCGCATCTCTCTCCGCCCTTACCCCTATCTCTCTTCTCATCTCTCACGTCACTCTCTTGTCCTTACCCACCCCTAGTATCTCTCTCTCTCTCTCACTCTCTCTCCATTCCTCCTCCCTTATCTCTCTCTCTCACTTAACCCTATCTCTCGTCCTCTATCCTCTCTCTCACTCCTCCTCTCTCTCCCTCTCTCTCTCTCTTCTCTACTCTTCCCTCCGTCTCTTCTCCTCTCTTCTCTCTCTCGTCTCCTCTCTCTCTCCTTCCCACCTATCTCTCTCTCTCTCGTCTTCTCTCTCTCTCGTCTCCTCTCTCTCATCATCTCTCTCTCCTCTCTCTCTCTCTCTCTTCTCCTCCTCTCTCTCGATCCTCTCCCTTCTCCCTCTCTGCCCTTATTCCCTCGCTCAATGCCTCTCCTTCCCTTCTTCTGCCCTCTTCCCTTCCCTCTCTGGCCCTCTATCCTTCCCTCTCCTGGCCTCTCCTATCCCTCTCTGCTCTCCTTCCCTCTCTGCCTCTCCTCCCTTCCCTTCTGCCTCTTTCCTTCACCCCCTCTCTGCCTCTCCTTCCCTCTCTGCCTCTCCTTCCCTCTCTGCCTCTCCTTCCCTCTCTGCCTCTCCTTCCCTCTCTGCCTCTCCTTCCCTCTCTGCCTCTCTATCTCCTGCCTCTCGCTTCCTCTCTGCTCTCTTCCGCTCTCTGCCCTCTCCTTCCCTCTGGCATGGCCACTCTCTCGTCTCGTCTCTCTCTCTCTCCTCCTTCTCCTGCCTCTGCTCTCTCTCCTCCATCTTCCCTCGTCTGCCTTCTCTCTCTCTCTCGCTCCTTCCCCTCTCTGCCTCTTCTCTCTCTCTCCTCCCTCCTTCTCGCCTTCTCTCTCGTCTCCTCTCCTTCCCCTCTCTGCATCTCTCTCATCTCTCTCTCCTTCCGCTCTCTGCCTTCTCTTCCTCTCTCTCCTTCCCTCTCTGCCTCTCTCTCCTTCGTCTCTCCTCTCTCTCTCTTCTCTTCCTTCTCTTCTCCTCTCTCATCTTCTCTCATCTCTCTCCTCTCGTCTCCTTCTCTCTGCCTCTCTCTCTCTTCCATCTCTCTCCTTCTCTCTCTCTCCTCTCCTCTCTCTCCTCTCCTCTCTCTCTCCTCTCTCCTCTCCCTCTCTCTCTCCTCTCCTCTCCTTACCCTCTCTGGCCTCGTCTCTCTCTCTTTCCTCTCTGGCCTCTACTCTCATCTTTCCCCTCTCTGCCTCTTCTCTTCTCTCTCTCTTTCCTCTCTCTGCTCTTCTCTCTCTCTCCTCCTTCCTCTCTGCCTCTTCTCCTCCTCTCTCCTTCTCTACTGCCTCTCTTCTCTCTCTCTCCTTCCCTCTCTGCCTCTTCTCGTCTCTCTCTGCGCTTACCCTCTCTTGCTTGCCTCTCTCTCTCTCCTCTCCTTCTTCCCTCTCTGGCCTCTTCTCTCTCTCTCTCCTTCCCGTCTCTGGCTCTCCTCTCTCTCTCTCCCTCCTCTCTGCCTCTTCTCTCTCTCTCTTCCTTCCCCCTCCTTGCCTGCTCTCTCTCTTCTCTCCTTTCCTCTCCTCTGCCTCTCCTCTCTCTCTCTCTCTTCCTTCCCTCTCTGCCTCTCTATCTCTCTCTCTCTCCTTCCCTCTCTGCCTCTCTCTCTCTCCTCTCTCATCCTTCCCTCTCTGCCTCTCTCTCTCTCTCTCTCTCTCTCCTCCTTCCTCTCTGCCTCTCTCTCTCTCCTCTCCTTCTCTTAATGCCTTCTCTCTCTCTCTCTCTCTCTCTCTCCTCTCTCTCTCTCTCTCTCTCGCTCTCTGCTCTCTCCTTCCCTCTTCTGCCTCTCTCTCTCTCTCTTTCCTTCCCCTCTCTTGCCTCCTCCTCTCCTCGTCTCTCTCTCTCTCTCTCTCTCTCTCTCGCTCTACTCTCTCTCTTCTCTCCCTCTTTAATCGTCCTCTTCCTCTCTCTCTCCCCTCCAATCTCTCTTCCCTCTCATGGGGCTCTCTCTCTCCTCTCCTTCCTCTCTCCTCTCTTCTCTCTCGATTCCTTCCCATCTCCTCTGCCTCTCTCTCTCTCCTCTTCCTTCCCTTCTGGCCTCTCTCATCTCTTCCTTTTTCCCCGCATCTCTGGGCTCTCGTCTCTCAATCTCTCCTCCTTAACCTTCCCCATCTCATGGCCTCTCTCGTCTCTCTCGCT